AAACAAAGTAGTAGGTGGATTTGCACAGAAGAATATTATTCTGACGATTATGTAAATATTTATATGTTCTGGTTTTCTCATTTTGTTACTGGTGTCTAATTTCCTAGTCTCATAATGAAGTGTAATTTGGAGAAGCTTTGCAAAGACAGGTGCAGCAGTGAAATAATTTGATTTGTTCAGTAAACTTGGTTTCAGTTATTCCTTTTCATCAGTTCTTTTAGAACCCTTCAAGTTCTTTGTGATATGACAACAGCTTTCAGCCCAATGAAGATATGACTCTTACATTGCCAGGAATTCAGAAGAGGTTTATGATATTGTCGCTTAATAAGAAAATGCATTCATCGGCAGGATACAAAATTTATGGGCTTCAAATGGATTTGGGTTTGTAGTTTTAGCCCTCTGTGCTCCTGCCATTCTCGAGGCTATGAGTAAGGTTTTTTAATTAAGTCAAATTGAATTGAATGAGCTTTTATTGAGCGCCCACTCCCTGCCAGACACAGTCTCCTTAACCCTTGCACCGCCTGTATGGTGGCCCCAGCCAGGTTATACCCCATGTCCATGGTCATCCAGCTGGCAAATATGGGAGGTGGGATTTGATGTGAGGTCTGATTCTTATGCACTTTCATCCCCAGCTGATTACATGCAGGGCTGTTTAGGGAGATGAGACAGGTTGGGTGACTTTGTATATTTCATCTCATTGAATCTTATTTAATCTTCTCAAACCCTCGTTCCTCTGTGAAGTTCAAGTTCAATGCATTTTCCCTATTTTACATCTAAGGAAACTAAGGTTCAGAATGGTGCAGTGATGTGCCAAGGGTCACACAGCTGGTAGGAGACAGAACTGGGATTTGAACACAGAACCCTCTGGCTCCAAAGCCAGAGTTCCTTCTGGAAACCCTCTGGGGTTCTGCATGTCCTCCAGCACATGACTGACCACCTGCCTGTGAACATGGCTTGGCTCTGGTGGCGGGGGCACCCTCCTGTAAGTAGAGGCAAGGGGTGGTGTGGAGACGGCATGGGGCTTCAGTTTCCTGGGCACTATCTAACTCCAGGGCCCCTGGTAAGGGGCCTCTCTCCCCTCTGACCCTCTCTTTCTGCACTGGTGCATGAAAGGGTGTCATGTTGTCATACTGGGTTGTGTCTGGCACCTGGTGGGTCCTGCAGCGAGGAGCCCTGCCCTCTGGAGTTGTTGCCTGTTGCCAGCACCAGTCTTGGCCAGGAAGCTGCCGTGGCTTCAGCCCCCGGACTCCTGGGCATCACAGAGCTGATTGCCAGTGGAGACTGGTGACTCATTTGATGGCATTTTCTGTGGCATTGTGCGGTTCAGCCTGGCACAGCACGCCACACCCACAGCAGGTATTCAAGAGCTATTAGTGTTTATGAAGGTGATAAAATTGCCAAAATGGAGGGAAGCCATCAAAATAAGAGCCTTTGCCTGTCTCGTGAAAGTTAACTTGCAAACCTAATGACTGTTAGGCTGTCGAAAAAGTGTCATCTGGATTTCTCACTGGAGACAGAACTCTCTGGAAGGGCAGTCGGGCAGCCCCTGATTGCTGTGTGGGGGCGGAGGCTTTTTATATGACAGTGAGTTGCAGAAATTAACAGTGGTCTCAGAGGACTTGTGCTCAGCTTAACCCTTCAAACTGCAAAAGCTTTAAGACAAATCCGGGAAATACTTGTATATTCTTCATACTCTCTGTGTTTTCTCTGAAAATAAAAGTGATTTTGAATATTTGAGGTTCATGTAACAAAAACTCCTCCCATTTGTAAAGCATGTTGTGGTAGACGGAGTAGCACCAGTGTGCCCCATTTGCATGTGCTATGGGGGCGGCTGAGAGGTCTGCCCCAGCCCCACTTAGAGTTGGGGAAGGCAGGGACCCTGACTTTTGGTCCATGGCCAAATCTACATATCAAGGAAAAGATTCATTGTTTAAAAACAAATGTGGGAAACTGTCACTGGAGAGCCCTTGGATAGTCATTTTCACGTCATTCTCCGATAAAGATAGATG